CCATGAAGGTGAACGACGTCAAGGGCAAATTGTCAGTACTTATCGATGCACTCACCACCACCCTGCGATCGTGGTGTTTACGTGTTGCCATGATTTGTGTTTCAGCGTCAAACCCGTCCTCAAGAAGGTCTCCAAAACGGAGAGCCAGCTGGCGCGGATTGAGAAGAAGGAGAAAACCCTCGCCTCGTTCCGCACCCAACTCAAATCCACGGGGCAAAACAAGTTTGCCCTTGAGGAGAAAGATGAAGCCACTCATGTTAGTTTCCGCAAAACCTACCAATTTATTTGACCCTAATGCGCAAATTTCCATGGCTATATATAAGTAGATTAGCCGTTTTGGGGTTGTTTGTTTAAATTTAGCGTCAACGGGCTAAATTTACCACACATCGACCGTAATGCACGCGCCGAATCGATCGATTAGTCTTCTGACCAATCAGGGTGTCGAATGAGGTCCTGCATGGTTACTGACCAATCAGGTAACTGGAAGTACTTGTGTACGCGCGACACTATTTTTGACTTCTTTTTTTGTAGAAAGTGGATTTCCGGGATCAGCTGAAGCCCGCGGGTGAAGGTGAAGCCGCCAAGGAGGCAGTAGAAGAGTGAACACCTCGCGTATTGTGCACTTTCTAGTTAATCCTACAAAATATATATCCCCTTTCGACGCAACAAACAATAAAAGATGACATCACACTTCACATGCATACACTAGCCTTCTGTCCCAGTTTCTGACCGCATTCGCCCACAATTGAATCTTTTCTTAGACAAGTGTATTCATTGTTATTTCGCAAATATCCGTGGTTTCTGATTGGTGTAACGCCAGTCTTTGTAGAGATGTCGGGATGGGAATTTTGTGCAACTGCTGCTATCACCTCCAAACACCACCCACTAACTGCACCGATGCCTCCTGCAATTTGTCTATTTTATTGCTAATTAAACCACCTTACGCGTGATGCTCTACTGAAAAACCACTTATTTCTTTCAAAAGTGCAATTTCATAGAGTCAGCGAAATCAAATTAGTTGGATCACGCTTGTCGATTTGGCCCAACACTGTTATTTGACGCTACTCATAGATATGAGTAGTGCGGATTAATCAGAAGTGAAGGATGACTATATTCGCACAATAACAGCAATCCTGAGAGGCCACAAAAAAACAAGTTTAAAATTGGGGCCAGCGACACTATCTGAGATGCTGTTTGAGTGGACTTGTATCCTTCATTCACCTTTGTAAAATATTGTCTACTGAATTATATTTAGTAGACATTCTTTACCATTTAGAGAAGAAATCAAACTGATGTAGAGGGAAGTTCGTCTTGGAGCACACCGATTATGCTACCAGTAAATGACTTAGTAGCCTTAAGACCAATGATGGTTAGCAGTGTCTTGGCTAATTTGTGATAATTTGGAAAACTCAAGCCTCTATTGGCAAGTTTCAAGGTCGTGCTGTCAGAGCCTTTTCGTCACCAATCATAAGAATTTTAAAGTCAATTTCTGCGTTTACAGATTCTAGTGAGAAATATTTCTTTACTATTCCTTAAGCAAAATTGTTATTTCTTAAAGTTTACTACATGCAAGCATTCTTCCGCTGCAAGCGTGTCCGTCGGTTTTGCATGCTTCCACTGTATTGAAAAGTTGACAAATTCGTTACAGCTTTTTGTCTGTTGCTATAGCAACGATGTCCATGCTCCTAATTATTTAAACACACTCACAGCTCCACATGTTACTCTTGGAATCAGAAAGCGTGAGTGATGGTCGTGTCTTAAAAATTTATCTTAGTTTAATTGTTTGTGTTTTGTTAAAAATATGTTTGTGTGCTGGTATTTATGAAAGGCATTTTAAACAACTAACACAATTATCGATTGTAAAATCGATGCTTACTTTATCTTCGTAGCAATAGTTTGTTTGAACAGGTGTTATAAACTAGAATTTCACAATTTAGCAATCAGCTTACGTCAAACGACAAGTTTGTGCGGGGAGTTGCATATTTTTTTTTAAATGAAGTCGTACAGTGAACTTGGGTTACGATTCTGCTAACATCGTTTTTCACATTGACATGAAGTGGTTACCTTGACTCAGTGATTGGAGCACTGGAATCTTTTTAAGTGTGAAATTAGCAACTGTCCTCATTAATTGGCTTTAGGTCGTGTTTACTTAATTCGCCAATAAGTAGTATGCGCGTTTACATGACGGAATTGATCAGGGAGATTAGCGTTAGATGGCAGAATCATTGGTTTAATTCTGTGGAGAATGACTCCGCAGAACGTGGTGGATTCAAGTCAATTTTGCCCACAACTAACCTGAGTAGTTTTTTTGTTACACAGACTAATCAATGCCAGGCAAAGACAGCACTAATCGCCACCTGACAAGCATGGTGTTCGCTGCGCTTAAGGGCTACATTGAGGACACTTCAAGTGAGAGCGACGGGGCTGACGATAAAATCGTGAAGCCGACGAAAAACGATCGGCAGAAGCATTCATGGCTAGACGACGACGATGATGACGACGACAACGAAGAAGGGGGAGAGGAGGAAGAAGAAGAAGAAGAGGACGACGAATCAAGCGAGGCATCGCGACCACGTCCAGACCAGCCATCAAAGAAGCGTTCTGCGAGGAAGCCAAAAAACGCAGCCACGAAGCGAATCCAACGACAGGAGATCGTGTCGAGTGATGGTGACGAAGAATCCGTCCATCTGTCATCAGACCCTGACTACCCAGACGACGTGGCAAGGTCTTCTGGGGTCGCTAGTGCTTCAAAGACGCGGAAAGCAGTGCCAACTCAGAGGTCAAAGACGTCTGCTGGATTGAACAAGGATAGAAGCATCGAGAAGTCGGTAAAAGAGTCTGATAAAGCACAAAACCAAAGGCAGAAGGCGTCTTCTGGAATGCAGAAGGAAAGAAGCATCTTGATGTCGTCGACGACGCCTGAGAGATCTCCAGCCCAGCGTCAGAAGGCGTCTGCTGGAGTGCGCAAGGAACGAAACGTCGAGATGGCGTCGACGAGAAGGAATGAAGTTTCACGAGAGAGGAAACCGCAGAAGAAGCTGGAAAAACGCGCTGAATCCCACCAACGTCCCTCATTGGCTCAAAAATCGACCTTGAAAGAGAAGGATGCAAAAAAGGCAACCCTCCAAAAAGGTACGATGGTTCTGGCTTTGCTGAAGGCATTCAAAAGGCGGAATTCAGAATTCTCTTATCCAGAATCGATTGAAGTAATTCACTTGATCCGTTCATGAGCATGATCACTGGTTAACCAATAATAGCATCAACAATCAATATTCTGTGTTTCATGTTCCCCAGATGTGTCTGTTTAAATAGGTTTTTCAGTCCTATGACCTTGAATGATGGCTGGCAGGATTGTGATTGGTTGATTCAAGTATAGGGCTAATTCAAATTCTTGTGCTACAATGGCAACTAAATTAACAGTTTGACTACTTCCGTTCTTATTTTGTTTAAATAATATGTCATTTCTTCATACTTAATCTTTAAAAAAGTTTTTTTATATTTTATAGAGGAGACAAAAGGAAAGAGTGTCGAGAACATTTGTTCTGACCTTATGGAATGGACTTTATCGGTCGTGCCCGACTTTAAGCCTTCTGAAGAAGAAACTGACAACATTCTCAAGGGAAAAATTGATCTCTCAGATATTTTGCCACCCTAATTCTGCTTCGAATCCCCTCTCCTTTTTATTTCTTTTGACAAGTTAGTTGCATGCTGGTTGTTTTAGTTCACTGGCTAAATTCAAAGTTCCCGGTTACCGATTTGGACAAAAGCGTACAAAATGCAGACCCGTGTTGTTTTAATGAACAGTTTGTTTAAAATCCTACCTTGGCGGCTATTTCAAAGCATCGTAATTTATCCTCGTTTCACTTCGCGTACCACGCGTTGTAAACAATGGATCTTTCTGATACATTTACCGCCGAAAACATTTGTTATTTGAAGTAAGGGTAGTTAAAAGGCCAATTTGTCAGCTATCTAGTTCACAATTTTACGACCCGACATTAAACCATGAAACGTTGGAAACGCCTAATGCATTTTAACGCAATAATTTCTATTTATATAACATTAAAATCGGCAAATTTTCAATGCAAAGGTGATGTGGCATCCAGTTTACTAAATGAAGTTAAATCGCACAGTCGACCTACGAATGTAGGAACAATTTTTACGTCAAATTAGCTAATCAAAATTAACGCAGTTCCATTACTACTTATATGTGTCAGTAGCAGTATTTCGAGATTCGGCAAATAATCTCATTATTTTGCTTGTTTATGATAATTGAAATTGCCACAAAATTAAAATTAAAAGTACTTTGAGATGAACAATTAGGAAAAACAAAACCCAAGTTAAAAAAGTACTTTTTTTCCTGAATTTGTAAAGTTTTTGTCGGCTAGCTGTTTTTGGGAACTTGATTTTATCTACGTAGTATCAACACTTGATAATTGAACTCGCTATTATGCCTGTGTAATGGGAACGCAGGAAACTTAATTGCAATTACTTTAAAAAATTTAAAATGGCGCTCTGTGATGAGGTGAATTTAAACAACGCAAATGCCCTTACTTCGGTCTCATGGGAATACAGAAAATTGATTTTCCAATGACCCGAGGAGTTAATTAATCTTTGGATAGAAAATATATTTGTGAATAATTCAAGCATTCAATTTACCCTCCAGATGACGACGCAAATCCTAACAGCAGAAAATGTTGTTTTGTAAATGCAGTCAGAAATTTCCAATCAGCAATTGTTTACCATTTCGGAACTATCTAGATTGTAAATGGCGCCTTGTGAGGCCGATAATTAGAACAACAAGTAAATTTTAAAAAGATTGCAGTATTTAAATTTGCAAAATAATGCATTGTTTTAAAGTATGAATGCACGAATAAGTGTCACTATTCTATCCACAATTTATTTAAATTTACGCTAAACGGAAATTGTGGGGTCAAATTTTGTCCAAGTATTGTGCAGCTGGAGGGTAATTCTTAGCGGTACTTGTGAAGCAAACGCAAGCAATTGCTGTCTACAACACGCTGATTTTTCTGCCGAATCTTCGATGAATAAGCAGCGACCCGGAACGTTCAGTACTGCACCCTTTTTTTCCTAAATAACAAACTTCACGACAATTAACGTAAATATACCACGTTGGGGATCTATGCATGTTGCGCGTCCAGTAAGCAATTTGAAGATGGCGCCAAACGAAAATCAAAACACTTTCAAGCCTTGGCTACAACTAGCGAAGATAAGGATTGTGGGAACCCCATTGATTGGTTTGATTCAAGAAATTACCTAGCATGCATTCCGTGTGTGTGCATTGGGGCAGGAGTGGAATCGGCTATAAATAGCACTCCTATTAGCCGTGGAATTCCTCCTAAATTATTGGCTGGGAACCACAGAAAATTCAACCCTCCCCCCGGATCCACTTAGATGTCGTCAACTTCCCTAGCTGCTTCAAATGGCCGGATTGCAGACCGCCGTGTACCTTCGAAACTTTCATTTATGACACCCAAAAAGGAGGTTTTGACACTAGAACTAAAATATTTTCACTCTAAAATTAGAATTGTGGTTTTAAGTTTTGAATTTAACGCTTAAAATCACGTTTAAAACGCTTGCACCCGAAGAAACGCTAAATGCAGCGTAAATATGCGTGATCGTGAACGGGACTACAAAAAACCAACCACTGTCCCGTAATCTGCAACAATCGATAAATATTAACGTATTTTTTGGCATGCTGCTGTCATCCGTTTTTAGAACTTGGCTGAATATAGCAATAAATAAGTCGTTCGACGCAAGACTTTGTTTGCATAAGTTAAACTAACACACCGAAATCCGTTTTACGTGTGAGTGATTCCAAACACCCCGTTTTTAACACGTAATAACGTGGATGCGTGCAAAACCAAGAGTTGGTGGTATTACCGTCTTTCGCGCACAGATGCGGGTAAAAGGTTAAAGGTTCAAACAAGCATTAAAGGATGTTTGTAATGCTGCCTAATCTGTCATTGCAAGTCAAACGTAATTTGATAGCCTTAGTGGAATCAAATCTTGCAAAACTGGGGCCGAATTTTGTATTTTTAGCAATAAATTTTTGTTCGATCCAAACGAGGACAACGTGAGAGTTTTTGCTGGTCTAGAACACTGACTTATGTAGCTTGATTTGCCAGTTCTCTGGAGACAAAACATCCTCTCTAAAGGCCTGTTGAAAGATTTTGGTAGTCAAAATCACCCCTGGTTTGCTGTACAGAATAGTAATCGCGGTTTAGGTAAGAAGAAAAGATGTCGAAACTCACGTTAGAAGACAACGAATCGCGATAGATCTCGTAAATCATCCATTCAAAATGGGTGATGATTCTAATCAATTGTGGAGCAGATGAGGGCGGAATGAACTCGATCGCACATTGTGGAATTTGCCCAGTTCTCGTGTGGATCGTCCTGTGAGCATTAGCACTACTGCCAGCAAAAACAGCCACAACAGCCTGACTGGTTTCAAAGTTTCACACCACTTTGATCAAAATCTTCGAATGAGATTACCTTTCGTGACTGTATTTAGTGTTCGGTGGAAGTTAAATTGAATTGAGAAGGCGTTTCTCACTCTTGCTGTCGGTTTAGTAAAACGCTACCACAGTTTAAGAAACACTTTCCTCGATTGTCAAGAGTTGCTTATTCGTCGCTGGCATTGCCCAAGCATCATATTCAACCCAAACCAGAGCGACACAAACGCATGCTTCTTACGAGCTATTCAGTTTTTGCGAAGAAGATGTCATCCAAGAATACGCAGCCGGTTGGCTACCTGCTAGCACTTTCGCTGGTAAAATAGACGTTGTAAGGTGTGGAGAAATCTTCACGGCGGTCGTCAGCGGCCGTAGTCAAGGTGTGGAACAGATGCGTGCAGGTGGACATTGTTCAAGATCTTACACTTGATCTCTGACCGTGTCGAAGTCCTTGTGAAGATCGTCTTGTGGACTTCCGTGGACTACCACCAAAAGCAGCTTCAAACTGTGGACTTCCAGATCCTGGAAGACTTTCACAAGAACCTCCTCATGCTTCAAAGCGTTAACTGAGACTAGTTTTCGTCCCTTTGTATAATGTTTGTTCGAATTTTTCCCGACATGGCTGATCGCTTCCACTCCAATCCAAAGCAGAACCACACAACTGCAAGTTTCTACCAAGACATTCACCTTGATTGACTTCGGCAAGACGCGTCAAATCCAACGGCTTCGATAAACAGCAGTCATGTTTGCAGAGAAAATGTTACAAGATTTTACGAACTACAAATGTCAGTTCTCTCTGGCGATTAAAACTAACTAAAACTAAGCGATATCTGGTTTAGAGTTAAACAAAATGACTTGTAAACATGTTCAGCGACTGTGATCCATGGCGTCGTGAACACCAGTGTGCTTGAAAGGAAGGTGGCTGCGGTCAGCCAGATTTAACGAAAACCTTTGTTTTGTCATAAAACCACAAAAAGCAGATCCCAGTTCGGAGCTAAATCAACAACCCCGAAAACTTGGAGCCCACTACATTTTTTCCAGCCATTAAACCATCTAGAAAACAATCTTTTTTAAACAAACTAGCGTAATAACATTAATTATCGTTTTTAAATTTCTCAAATGAATCTGTGGTGACTCAACGTCTGTACTAAATGACTCAGAACAGTAACAGACAAAAAGGATAGATTTTGGAAAAAATTCAAGAAAACACCAACTCACACTAGATCTCTTTAGTAATCTTGAAATTACACAATCTACGGGTTCCATCCACTGAATTTTGAAGTTTACCGGCATCGTGTGTTCTCAAGGGACCAGTTTGTACCTTCTCATTCACAGATTTGCTCGGAAAAAATGCTCACCGTGATCGGAAGGTTGACTTTGCCTGGTGGTTAACACGAGTGACTACCAAATCTCACGAAGTGCTGGCATTCATCACCTTAAAATTACGTTTTCGAAAAATGTTCACAGTTTTGGAACAACGGGTTTCCATGTTAGCGATTTTGATGGTGCGAAGATATGTTGATAAGTCAAATTATCTACAAACTGTGTGAACACAAGGTGAAAAGTACAAATAAACATCACATCTCGCAGTCACAATTCACTGATCTAGTCAGAACACAAATGTGCTTATTGGCGGCAGCGACTGATAATTACTGACTACCTTTAGGGTAATAATTATAGTTAAGCTCACCGAAGTCCCACCTGCTAATTTTCAACCAATTACAGTTTGAAGGCCAAATTAAAACGAATTATCAAACGTTCGTATTTCCAATGCACGGTCGGGCGGTTAATACTTGCGGCTTTAAAATTGCGAAATATGCTGGCATCTTTCAACAAAACATGTCTAATTCCGCGTATATTCCAGTCGAACATGACAGATTCTCATATAAAGAAGGAGCAATGAGCCTAAAGCACACCATAAGGACCATTTTCGCCCCTAAGGTAGGACATTCTTAACGCACGAACGCACGTTTAATTCTAAACATTAAAATCTTTGTTTCTACTTCGCGAAATCTTAAATTTATTGTAATTCAACGGCTTAGTTTGCATATGTTGGGAAAACGTGGACACTTTCGCAGTTTCAAAACGAAAAAAGTGCAAATCTGGGTAAATTTTGGCAGTAACACAACATGTGTTTATTGTGGGCATTAACAAATAACCAACCGACCGGCCCTGAGGTAATTATCACGGCGAAACACACCCGAGGCACACGAGCTAGTGTTTTAACCCAGCCTAACAGCAGAAGGGCAATTTAAGTCGGATTATGAGACGTTCAGATTTGTGCGGTGGGTTAAAAGCAGAAAAAACTGAGTGATGCAGTCGCGCGCGCGTGCCGAACCAGTAAAGACGATTATCGCGGTCACAGGGGCACATTGTGCAACCCCGTGCAATCACGATTTATCTCTAGATGAATCTGGATCAGTACATTCGCAGGCATCAAGGTATCCGCCACCGCAGCACACGCCTGTGCTTATTAAATCGCGAAAATACTCAAAGCACTACTAGTTCCTTCCACAGGGTCGTAAGTTATCAAGACATCTAGGTCCATGTTAGATTCCTCTTTGTGTGTGGATCCTGAATGCCTCGACAGCGTGTAGAACTTAAATGAATTCCATCGACTCTTTTCAGACTGACCCTTGCTGGAAGCTGCCATTTAACATTGGTACATAATTGCCCGTCCACAGATAGAAGCATAATCGAAGACTAGATTGTAACGCCACAGTGACATGATTTGAAGTAATCGCTTGTTTGAATACACCGTCCAACTTTGTGGCATAACTTACTCGTTCACAAGGAAACACAACCTCTATTGCTCCTCTGGAACACAACAGATAGGTGATTTGAGCTGTGGAATAGCGTTGAAGCTCAGAGTGTTACACACAAAACCGAACCTCAATCACATTGGTCCCCTACCCAACGACACATCGAACGCAATCTTCGTGTCGGAGAATACCCAGACACGACAACTCAGCACAGGGGGCATTATGGCAATGCTGATTGTCGAATTCATGTGAATGCATTGATGGACTGACGGAGTTGGTTGGTTGTTGTTGTTGTAGAGCAAGGGCGTTTGGATGGAGCGATCTGTGAGTACACGAAGGAGGAGAAGATGGCCTTTCTGCAGAAGGCCTACGACCTCGGTGTCAGGAACCTGGAGATGGAGTCCTTCGGATTTGCTGCGTTTTGCCAGAAATTGAAGATCAAAGGTGAGTCCATGTCGGTGCATTCGACCTTCACTCTTATTCGTTGAATGCCATCACCCGCGTGTCGCCTAATGGCCATCTCAACTTCTGTTCCACGCCTCGCAGTCAGCGTTTGAGAGTTGCCATAAATCGGACCTGAGACTTGTCAGATCTGTCACCAAATTTGCCAGTCCTAGTGATTCCGAGGTATCACATTGAGCTTGGCATCATTCACTCTCAACAACCGTGTTCTGCTGACGTCATGCACACGCACACAAATTTGGAAATCAGTCAGTTGGAAATGTGGCGAGTCGACCTATCACCTTAAAAGAGGATGCGTTGATGGCTGATGCCAGTGAGAACATGCTGTCCCCGAATCCAACGAACAGATTAAAGTGTTCTTGCTGCGAATCTAATCATCAAGTAAATCACGCTTAACCAGTCACTGATTCCATAAACATAGTCAACATTCCTACATCAAATGAGGCGAAATCCAACTTCAGAATAAATTGGTAGGCTTAGGAAAGTCATTCGAACCAAACTGGAAGGCAGAACTATTCTAACCAATAGGAATTGGTTTCGTGTCGACTCCCGTAGAGGGGCCAGCAACGCGTGCACGAGATGCGCGCACAGATGACACAAATGTCCAGTCTCCCTTTGCCCATAGCAACGCTGCAGCAGTCTGTGAATTGTCTGTCGTTGGAATGGAATGCTTTCAGGATATATTGCACTACTGGCCAACTTCAGATTGCCTTGTCGACTGGCCGCGTCTAGCCACTGCGTATGCCCAGTTACACATGCCGTCTGTCCAAACATTGTCACCACAACTAGGGCTTAGTAGTCTACATTAACAAACTGCCCCCAGTCACCTGTTCTCTCCGTTTGATGTCCAGCTTGGGGACAATGTGATCGCCCTCGAGATTGTCTCTGCAAAGTACTATGTACCAAAATCGTCAGACAGGGTAGAGGCTTTGTAGTCCTTTCTAAGTCCGGTCACTTCATTTCGTGATAATGCATTTCAATTAAAGTTTGCTTTTCAGTGGACTAAGAAAACAAAGCCCCAACAGATGATGGATCCCACATTTCACACCATCATTCGTCGCTTTCAGAATTAAATTTAACAACGGCATTCTTTTCGAGGATGACCGAATTAGCGGCTTTAAAAGAGGAGATTACGTGATCTTACTTGCTTTGGGAATTAAATTCCTTCTTTACAGGGACTTGATGCCAATAAGTGGTTTGCAACGACACTTGATCCGTGTTTGGCCATTGTGGCTTCCATATTCTTGACTAAGCAAAATTGGCATGGATTTTGAACTTCTACTAAACCGTCCCAGTTTGATAATATTGAGGGAAATTGTGATGCAGCTTTGGATGAAAATCCATCCAAACACCCTTGCAGTAGCGATCTCAATTAAGCTGAACCGTAAAGCAAACACACTGGTCTGCCATTGAAGTAACCAGCTCACGCCTGTGAGGCAATTTTCCCTGAAATTTGGTAGAAAAACCGTCCGTTTTTGAGATGCCTATTTCACCAGATTCAGAGCAAACCCAGTCGCCCATCATGGCCAGGCATTTCCGGGTGCTAACCCCAAACCGCATCAACCCTGTTTGGCTATTGCGGTTGCCACACTGAACCCTCAAAACTTTAGACTTGTTCAGACTGGAGACACATACAACGGCTCTTTGTCTGACGATTTTGGTTTATTCCACGTTGCAGACACAATTTTAACAACGATCATACTGTCCACAGGTTGAGCATCCATGGAAATGATCGACCATGGTGGGGGCTTTGAGTGACTCGCTACGAATAATGGATGCGATTTTGGTGCATGACAGGTTTGGGGTCAATCAAATCGATTCACTTTTATCTAATCTGTTGCTGCGCGTACCCCGACACACCACGTCCCAATTTTGCAGTGCCTGTCAGCCACGCAGACTGTGCTGAGGGCCCCGGCATGTGGTCTTGAACCACGCTAGGGCCACTGAGTTAACTCTAGCCCGATTACGCAACCCTGAATACCCGCGAAGGTGAAAAGGACCATCGAGGACGCGGCACGACCTTTCACTAGGCAGCTAGACGCAGTTCTTTTGTGTTGACTGACACAGGTGAGTGGACTAGCAAAAATACAGGCGTCTGAATGGTCACGTGGATAGAGCGGGTGGTGGTAGTACCTGCAGCGTGGTGAATGAGCAGGGGGCCCCAGTGACTGAGGGGCACACCGTGTAGGGGGGACGTGTGAGTGAGGCTGCGATGACCGCGTTATTGGACGTGAATCAACACGATTCACTACTGCTCTCTCCCCCCTAACTAAAGGAATGGACTAACCTTTTCATCCAATAGGATGTTCTCAAGGGTAGATCGTAAGTATCGTGTGGACGATTTGAGCCCTTAGTAATAGCTGAACACGAGTGATTAGGCGAGGCGAATAGTCGTCGCCGGATGGCGAATGAAAAGATTGACGCCATTGTTTGTTGTCAGAAGACGTTTGAGGTGATTTTGGCCGTGGCAGATACAACCTTATCTTCCAGCGGGCTATCTGAAAGGTTGATCGCAAGACAGGTGGCGCGTGACGCCTGAGCGTCGGCGTCAGATTGCTGAGACTTTACGACTTAGTTGAGAGTCTTTAACCAGGCCGAGAATGGATCGGAGAGTATCGAGGTCGTGGCGAAAGATGGGGCTAGAATAGGAAAAACGGGTTCGAGTGACGAGGTAGGATGGTTGGTTGTCGCCAAGAGGTGTTGGAAATTGATATTCATCGTCAAGATGTTAGGCAGGGTCCGGAGATTCAGCGTCTTCCGGAGGTGATTGGGGCCAGAGATAACACCTGGTAGAGCTAAGCGCGAATTGAGTAATGAAGCTAGTCTGATACTTGTGGGTGTAGAATGAAATTCCAGGCTGGGCGAAAAGACGGAATTGGGGCCTAAAGTCGGGCGTTGTCGAAGATTAATGATCGAATGGCTTGAGGGAGGTGACTGTTTACTTATGACATGAGACGGACTCAGCACGCTGCTTAAGTCATACTGGAAAATCGCCAAGTGCCAGGTCGTAAAGGTCTGAAAACGTTCAATGTCGGGGTCACCGGCTTGTGGTCTCGAATCACGCCAGGGCCACTGCGTTGGATTTAGCCTGATTACGCTACCCTGAATACTCGCGAAGGTGAAAAGGACCATCGAGGACGAGGCACGACCTTTTACTAGACAGCTGAACACAGTTGTGTCGTGTTGACTGATACAGTTGAGTGGACCAGTAAAAATACAGAAATCTGGAAGGCCACATGGATAAAGTGGGAGGTGGTGGTACCTGCAGCGTGGTGAATGAGCAGGCGGTCCCAGTGACTGACGGGCACGCCGTCAAAGGGGGGAGGCGTGAGTGAGGCTGCGACGACCGGGTTATTGGACGTTAATCAGCACGATTCACTGCAACTCCTCGAATGTACACCTCTGACAATTCAGGCATTCCTGTAGCATAATTACTTTTGTCGACAACGTCTCTGGTCACGCCCTAGCACACAAACAACTTGCTTCATTCTCACCTTTCTACATTCTTCTAGGCTTCTCGAATGTCAGTGAAGATATTTTGGAGGCTTCGAAGCCTTCCACAGAATCCTCTGGGGTCTACATCTTAATGATTTCGTGCATTCGTAGTTAGTGGGTTAGATTACTATCCCCAAGCACCTCTCTAACTCGCTGCAACTCCTAAGCTCGGTTATGAAACTTGCTTTGTCTAGCTTGCGCCTACCATAGAGCTAACACCAAATAACTTTAAAAATAATTGCTATTTTGGGGCTTCATTCCTATGAATTTTACGATGAATCTGACACATGAAATGACAAAGAACACCCGACGTGCTGCTTGCCAGTAAAAACGACGACAACCTGGGATGTTCGCAGTGAAAACAACCACGATCACAGTTGCCTAAGTCGATTTTTATTCAGACTAAATGCACAGAAACACATTCAAAAAAAACCTGATTGGTACATCGAGTGACAGAGCACAGAGTGGAAGTGAAAGTGAGACAGCTGGAGCACCGAGTTAGATGTGCTTCTTGATGTATGCGATGAGAATTTCGAGTGGTCGTTCCTGCCACTCGTGCATCACCGAGACGGGCGTCGTGATTTGGTCCGTGATGAGACGGTTCACCATGGTCACACAAATGACGGAAGCTAAAACAAAGAGAACGGGTGACTGTGGACTGTTTGTTAATGTAGACGTCTAAGCCCTAGTTGTGGTGACAATGCTCGGAGAGACTGCATGTGTAACTGGGCATACGCAGTGGCTAGACGCGGCCAGTCGACATGGCAATCTGCATTTGACCAGTAGTGCAATATATCCTGAAAGCATTCCATTCCAACGACAGACCATTCACAGACTCCTGCGGCGTTGCTATGGGCGAAGGGAGACTAGAGATTTGCGTCATCTGTGCGCGCATCTCGTGCACGCGTAGCTGGCCTCTCTACGGGAGTCGACACGAAG